TGTAAATAGATTTATTAAAAATGTGGAATAATCGATGAGAATATATATAAATTATTGAAGAGCATTCGAAAGTAATTAAAGAGAACAAAGGCTTAGTGGGTCGTTATATATAGATGAGAGTGATATACATATATAGAGTGAAATACTCATAAGTGAAGGATCACTCAATCCGGATCGTTCAGAAACAGGTCTTGATGAAACACCCAGTAGATCAGGCAGGCGACGGACAGCGCGTTTTGCGGTGACAGAGCGTGTCTGATGGAGGGTTGTCACGGTACGGGAGCACCCCTCAGACTTCGATATTAAAGCCCTTCTAATATAAGAGCGAAAGCTCTGTTCTGCAGCCGCCCCACCCTTCCTCCACTTTTTCTTTCTCGATATCCCTTATACCCCACACCTCTACTTTATCACTGAGAAACGATATTCAACTTTTAAGATTATTATCATTAACATCGTCAGTTCAATATTCTAAAATACATACTCTTATTATAAAGTATTTTAGAAATAGATCTATTATTTTAAGAATAGGTATACTACTTATGCGCATACTTTCGTTTGTTCTTGCTTAAACAGGTTTATTGTCATCACAACAAATCTGAATCGTTAGATCAAGAAACTAAATTTTTTAATAACAATCTTATTATCAAAGTAACAATTTTATTCTTCTACTCTATGCATATGTATAAATTCTGAAAATTTTGATTTGATGTGCAGGGTTGCCACGCTTTTGCTCATTTCAAATTCCCTGACTTTTACAGGTTTTCGAGGTTAAGAAACGGGATTTTTTCAGGTTTTTAAAACTACATTTGTTGCCAACAAAAATTTAATTTTGTTCTTCCCTGACTTTCCCTTAAATTCCAGACAAAATTTTTACTTCTTGACTCTAAAGAATATTCTCAATTAGTTTAAAAATTATTACTCCGAAAAATATTCTATTACTTCTTTTTTAAAAAAATATTAAATCATTATTATTTTTCCATAAGAATTAAGATTTTCAAAAATTTCAAATTCAAACCTTTTTGAAATTAAACAATTTAAAAAAAAAATTGTTATAAAACATGAAGATATTGATCACTCCGAGTCTTCGACTCGGAGCAATCGATATCTTTATGTTTTATAATAATAGAAAGATGATCGACTGATAAAATAATTATTTTAGATTTTAAAAATATTGTTACTGTAACTTCATAAAAATTATTCTCATTTCAATTTAATTATTTTCTAGAATTTTTAACTAAAATTCTTCTTTAAATTAATTATTCATTCATTTTTAATAATTTTTGAAAAATTTCTTTGAAAAATTTTAAATTCTTTTGTTTACAATTTAATTTTACGAAATTTCATCGATTATTCGGAAATTCTTCAATCAAATATATATTAGAAAATAAAAACTTTCAGTTAAAAGTATGAAAAATTCAAACTTTCAACGATTATAATTTGAAACCTTTTCAAAATGCAATTATTTCTAAAAATCCACGATCTAATACTTTCTCTCTAAATTTGAATTAGTAAAAATGTTTACTATTTTAGAATTAGTGACTGAATTTTTGCTTTTGAATTAATAAATTTTACTATTAAATTAGTAGAAACGACTATTTATTGGTAAAATTTGCTAATTCAAAAGCAAAAAGTCTGTCACTAATTCAAATTAAAAAGCATTTTTACTAATTAAAATTCAGAGTTTAATATTCAATTATTATCTAAAATTTTAACTGAAATTCATATTCAAATCAATTTTTATTAGAAAACTTTACGAGAATTCAATTATTTAAATACAAAAATTAATAATTTATTTACTAATTGAATGTTTCTTAAAATTGAACTCGCACAAAGAATTTTATCAATAAATTTTTAAATAATTAAAATTCTTTTGACGAATATTAATAACATTCTTAAGAATAATTTCATTTTTCGAGAAATTAGATTAAAATTGTATTAAAAATAATTGTATCTCTGTAAAAGACATTTTATTTTATTGAGAAAAGTTTTTGAAAATAATTGAAATTTTGCAAAGAATTTTTATTAAAATTTTTGAAAATAATTGAATTTTGGAAAAAAATTTTATTATTTATTTAAAAATAATTGAAATTTTGACGATAATTTTAAATTTTCAGTGAAATTCATTTTTAATTATTTTTATTAGAAAATTCTACGAGAATTCAATTATTTAAATACAAAAATTAATAATTTATTCACTAATTGAATGTTTCTTAAAATTGAACTCTCATGAAGAATTTTATCAACAAATTTTTAAATAATTAAAATTCTTTTGACGAATTTTAATAAAATTTTTAAGAATAATTTCATTTTTCGAGAAATTAGATTAAAATTGTATTCTAAATAATTGAATCTCTGTAAAAAAAATTTGATTTAATTGAGAAAAGTTTTTGAAAATAATTGAAATTTTGCAAAGAATTTTTATTAAAATTTTTGAAAATAATTGAATTCTTGAGACGAATTTTAATGATACATTTCTTTTTAAATAATTGAATTCTTGTGTGAAATTTTATTGAAATACATAGATATTCAAAATAATTGAATTTTGATAAATTATTGAAATTAATTTAATTCTACGAAGAATTTTATTAAAATTATTTTAAAAAAGAATTGAATTAATTGTTAAATTGAATTTCATTAAAATTTTTGAAAATAATACATAAATTATAGGAAGGCTTTCTAAAATAATTGAATTCTTTTTTAATGAATTTTAATAAGATTTTTAAGAATAATTACATTTTTCAAGAAATTCGATTAAAATTGAATTAAAAATAATTGAAATTCTGAGATAATTTTTATTATTTATGAAAATAAATGAAAACCTATACAGAATTTCATTATTGTGAAGAAATATAATTATAAAAAATTTGTAAATAATAGAATTCCTGTGAAATTTTTATTATTTAATTCATATTCATTCAAAATTTAAATTTTCTAAAATTTCAAATTAAAACTTTTTATAAAGTTCATCTAATTTATGAAAATTGTAAATGCAACTCTTTTAAAATTCAATTAATTTTGAAATATTTAAGTAAAATTAGATTTCAAGAGTAAGCACAATGACTTTAGAAAACAATAATTTTCCAGGATTCCGATTAAAATTCCCTAACTTGTCCAGGTTTTTTCAAGATTTATCAAATTCCCTGACATTTCCAGGTTTTTCAGGTTTCCAGATTTCGTGGTAACCCTAATTTGACAGATCGCCTAGTCTAACAGGATTGTTTTTTGTTTCTTAATTCTACCAGAATTAAAGTGAGAAATTAAAAATGGCCAAAAACAAATATTGGAGGCCATTTTACTATTTTTAAAAAATTGTAGTTCAAATCCTTTTATAATATAATTATTTCTAAAAATTTAAGGGTAATTATTCTAAAATTAAATTAGGTTTACAACTTTTAATTACAAATTTTCGACAAATTAATTTGATCGCTCCTGATATTCTTGAGATCAAAGTACTCTTTATCAGAAATTATAATTTTACTACCATATTTACTAGCAGAATATTAAGAGTTTTTAGAAATAATGACCAGCTTGAAAAAGGGGAGTTATTAATTATATAATGAGCAATATTAGGGATTATATTAGCATTTAACATGATTTTCCCAGGTGGAAAAGTTAACGTTAGCTAATGCTACTAACGTTAGACTGACGTTAACTAACGGTAGGCTAACGTTAGTCTAACGACATATTTTGATCACTAAAATCAGATTATAACGTTAGTTAACATTAGTCTAACTTTAGTCTAACGTTAGTTAATGTTAGTTAACGTTAGTCTAACGTTAGTAGCATTAGCTATTGTTAACTTTTCCACCTGGGTATGTTCGAGACAAAATATTATAAAATCAAATTACTGATAAATTGTTCAGGGAAAGGGAACAATTATATGAAAGAAAAATAATCCAATGATTGGAGGAATATACAAGTTAGAGCAGTAATAAAAGAATATTCTTTAAAACGAGAATATCATTTCTGCAGTAAAGTAATAACATCACTTTCTACCTCCCTTCCCCCCGTTTGGCTCCTTTTTCTCACGCTGGTCGGTCCATCATCATGATAAAATGCTCACCAACAAAGTATGTACTTGTACCTTGAAAATATAGAATGATGTTTCAGTGTATGTGTGTGTGTACGCGCCCCTTGTCTCGGCTTCCGTATCCATCTAATACGCACCATTGACCACGAATGCACGTCCGATAGGACCGCCCATGGTCCTCCTCAAAAATCAAGTTATCTCGATTCCTTCGTGCCCATATAACCCACTACGAGAATTGTTTATGGCCCTGGTAGTAAAACCGAGATGAAAAATTTCTCAGCTACGCGATCATTTATATAATGCAATAAACTTGCTTTGAATATATAGTTCCTAGTATACCTAGCTAAATAATTTTACTCTTTAAATTAAAGCCATCAACTTTTAGAGCCAGTTTCACCAACTTCCGATTAAAAGTTAATCAATGATTAAAGACAGTTTAAAGGCTTCTGATTGGTTAATTGAGGATTTAATCATTGATTAACTTTTAATCGGTGTTGGTGAAATCGGCCCTTAGAGTCAATGGAGAAAATTAGAGTCAATTAATAATTAAAACTTTGAACATGCCAATCATTTTTTTTAGTGAATAATGTCCAACATTATTCACTAAAAAATCCTGATATTAAAATGAGTTTAAAATTTTGAGCTGTAACGAAAATGAGACTGGGTTTTTTGTGTGTTGATGAAAAGGAGGAATAAGTCTATTTTTATCATCTTTAATGAAAATGAATAAAATGACACTTTTTGAACCTTGAGAGTAAAATAACGAATATTTGTTCACCCTTTTGAAACCCTTTTAGCATTTTTAACACAATCTTATTAGTTTGCTAAATTTTCAAAAATGGATAAATTCTAATTATTTGGAATCATTCATTTAATAAGCAGGTATACCAAATTTTACTTTTAACTGCATTAATAAAAAAGAGAAGTTTATTCTGATAAATATTTTATAATTTTTGTTTTTAGTACTTACAGTAAATCTGCGACACCATACAGCGAGATATTTGATGTCCCGTATCTTCAAATCGTTTTTCAACTTTAAGATGATATTCGCCCTTTCATAGCTGCCTAAAGTTGGAGGTTCCCTATAAAATGAAAAAAAAAATGTTAGAAATAATGCATGCAAGTTATGTTATAAAAAATCTCATATAAAATATAATTTAATAGAGGTCAAACCAGTTTACCTCGCCTAATGTATTTTTGACCTTTTCAAAAAACTTTAATACTTTAAGAATTTTTTTACATGTTTTAAGATGACAAAATGCACGAAGATTGAAAAAAAAATTTTGTTTGGGTCGACACGAACAAATTACACTTTGACAAAAAGTAAAAAATACTCAAAAAAATACAGTAATTACTTTTAAAAATATAAGAAAACCGATTGATATTTATTTTTAAAGTCATTTTATTTTATTTTAAATTTATGTTTATTGCACTTAATTAAAGTATATTTAACATTATAAAAAAAAATGTCAAATATTATATTATTTAAGTCTCTCTATGAAATGTCAGAAATCTATGATATATTTAAAAACTTTTTTCTGCAAAGTAATTTAATTTCATTAACTTGAAATTAAATGAATATTAACCTCATGTGACTGTTAGATCTCTAATGTTAATTTTTCAATAATTTTTCTCTTAAAATATCAATTAAATCCTAATCTAATTTTTTGTAAAAAAAACTCTAAAAATATGATAAGAAAGGACAGTGAGGTGCAAAAGTTTTAATATTTTCAAAATGAAATATTATGAAATACTTTTATTATACAATTTATGGCAAAATTTCAATTATTTTAAAAAACTTTCCTCAATTCAATGATTTTTAATAAATCTACTACTTTAATAAAATTGTCAAAAAGAATTCAATTATTTAAAAAATTTTTTAATAAAATTCTACATAAACGTTTAATTATTTTCATAAATAATAGCATTTTTTACAGGAATTCAATTATTTTCATAAATAATAAAACTCATCGCAAATTTTCAATTATTTTAAATACAATTTTAATGGAGACGAAAAATATAATTATTCCTAAAAATTTTATTAAAATTCATCAAAGAAATTCAATTATTTTCAAAACTTTTGCTACAATTTATTTATTAGAATTTAAGTATTATTTGCTATATAAAGTTTTAATTAAATTTCTTGAAAAAATTAAATTATTTTCAAAAATTTTAATGCAATTCTTTGTAACAATTCAAATTTTTTTCGAAATAATGTTAATAAAATTCTTCGTAGAAAGTTAAATAATTTTAAAAATTTGTCAAAATTCAATTATTTGCTATGTCTACCTACTATTTCAATAAAATTTCATAAAAGAATTCAATTATTTAAAAAGACATTTTAATAAAATTCGTCTCAAGAATTCAATTATTTCAAAAAATTTCACTGAAAATTTTAAATTATCGTCAAAATTTCAATTATTTTTAAATAAATAATAAAATTTTTCTCCGGAATTCAATAATATTCAAAAATTTTAAAAAAATTCTTGGCAAAATTTCAATTATTTTCAAAAACTCTTAAAAAATTCTTTGGAGAAATTCAATTATTTTTAATTAAAATTTTAATCAAATTTCCGAAAAATGAACTTATTTTTAAAAATTTTATTAAAATTTGTCAAGAGAAATCAAATATTTAAAAATTTGTTAAAAAAAATTCTTTCTGAGAGTTCAATTTTACGAAATATTCAATTATTCAAAAAATTATTCTTTTTTGTATTTTAATAATTGCATTCTCGTGGATTTTTATTTAGTAAATATTGATTTAAAAATTAATTTCAGTTAAAATTTTACATTATCATAGAATATTGAAAGCTATTAGCGTAATTTTTTTTAGAAATAATTGAATTTTGAAATGATTTCAAATTAAAATCTTTGAAAACTTTAACTTTTCGTACTTTTTGATTAACAATTCTGTAGAATTAATTTTTTTTTTTAAATTTTAATTGGATTTTTCTTTAATTCTTCAAGTTTTTATTTTATAATATATATTTAATTGAAGAATGTCAGAATAATCGAAATTACGTGAATTGTAAACAAAAGGATTTGGAAATTCTCAAAGAACTTTTTCAAAAATTATAAAAAAAAATTGAGTTCAAGAAGAATTTTAGTTAAAAATTCTAGAAATGAAGAATTGAATAATTTAAATGAAAAAACCGCTGCCAAGTTGTATATTTTTTTTATAATTTTGGTGCTGATTTCATGAACACTTTACTTCCTCATAGAGATAAAAATGTTAGAAATATATGATTAACTTTTTATAAATATGGTAAAAGTGATTGAATTTTGGGTCAATCAATGTATTTTTAAATACCCTACGAGATAGTTACAATAATTTAATAGTTAAATAAAAATTTTCAAACAAAAAAGTTGAGAAAATGTCATTTTTTACAATTTTTGGTTTTTAAAATACCAATAATTTCGAAATTTATTATCGAATTAGGTTCAAAAATAGGTCAATCGAAGAGTTTTTTAATGCTCTACAAGTAGATAACGATAATTTTAATGGTACTTCTACGTTTTCCAACAAAATTTTCAAAAAAGTCTTATTTTCCAAAATTTTTGATTTTTAAAAGTTTAATATCTCCGGTTAATATGGACGAAAAATGTTCAATTAGGGCTCAAAAGATGCGTCTAAAAAAACTCTACAAAATTATGGAAAAACATTTATAGGTGTCCTGACATTTTTTTAAAGTTATGGGCAAAAAACTTTTTTTTGCAAAATTAAAATTCCAAAAAATGTAGTTAAACTTTATTAATCTATCTCAAAGTACTCTCATTTTATGTCCGCAGGTGAGATCTACAATTTAAAAAAAAATTCAACCCAAAAGCTCTTCATGATTTCGAGATATTTATGAAAATGTGATGTTTACACACACACACACACATACGGAATGACATTTTTTAAAAATGTCATTTTTGAACTCCTGAGGTCAAATAACATAAAGATATGTCAAAAAATCGAACTCGAAAAATTTTGGTATTACAATACTTCCTCTATGAGAGGAAGTAATAATTATGAAGAAATTACAGTAACAATATTTTTATAATATAAAATAATGATAGTATCAAGTTTTAATGATTATAAAACATGAAGAAAGCGATTATTCCGAGTCGAAGACTCGGAGTGATCGATATCTTTATGTTTTATAATAAATATTCTTATATGTTATTGAATTTAAAATTTTTGAAAACTTCAATTTCTGTAAAAAAATAATAATTATTAAATATTCATTTAAAAACGAAGTTATTGATGTTTTCGAGTAATTTTACAACTTTTACAATTAAAGAAATTCGTAAATAAATGTAATAGAACAGGAAAAAAGTCGTTTTGTCTGGAAATCAGGGAGTTTGGTAAAATTAAAAATAAAATTAAAATTTGGTAAAATATAATTATGTAGTTTTAAAAACATGGAAAAATTTCGTTTTTTAACCTGGAAAACTTGGAAAAGTCAGGGAATTTGAAATGAGGAAAAGCGTGGCAACTTTGTATTAGAATATAATTTTAGAACCTATTTCAACCTAAAAACCAGATAAATTAAAATTTTTAAAATATTGTAAAAACTCGAGATAGAATAACGGAATGATTGTTAGTAGGTCGTAAAACAGAGAGAGAGAGAAATTCTCGTCTTTTATTCTCGGTAAATAAAATTTAATTCATTGGCGAGTAAATTGATTCATTTTTAGATTTTCCAATATTAATGGACCACATTTTATGTCACATGCGGGATGCAAGTGAAACACTTTAGTATATGTAATAGTTAATGATGTATTTTCTGCGGTTTTGTGAGCAGCGTACACAGTTGAGTATATATCTATATTTATTTATTCCAAAACGTGTTTAGAATCATGAGTGAACGGTGAATTGTGCGGGAAGTTTAAAAGCAGTGGGACGGTTAGATGAGCGCGGCAGTCCGTAACCAAGGGTTGAAACGAAATACTCACAGGGATTGTTGTGTGCGAGGGGTTGGGCGCGGAAAATAGATGGGTGGATGACTCGTGCGGGGGTGTAGATAATAAAATGAGAATTACCGCTCGATCGCTATTGCAGTTCATCTATGCGAATACATTACACAACTCTTAATGAAGAATCTACTCCCTAATAAGAGTATACACTACTCGTAGACGATTATTGTCATTAATTGATTTTCAATACACGCCATAAATTTCACTATTCATACCTAGTCACAATTAATTTTATTTTCAAGTATATTCATTTTGTACTTTCTCTTGGCATTCGTAATTTTTTTTTTTTTTGGTAGGAAACGAAACTCTTTAGTTTCAATTTCTAGTGGAACGAATTTCATTTAATAGACTTGCCACTATACTACACTTAGATGAAAATATTTATCGGGATATTTTTTAAAACACGATTTTTGAATAAAACATTAAGTTAATTTACCAGTTTGGTTAAGTCAAATAAACTTTTCCCTTAAATGTTAAACACTTCTTTACTTTACTTTTTAAAATATGTAAGAAGCATATAATTTCTTATAATTGTTCAAGAAATAATGTGAATAATTTACGAACCTTCCCTTATAGTCTTCTGGATAAGGAATTAAGTATCCTAAAGGTGATGCTTTAGTTCCGTTGCCAACCCAAAAATGTGTATCGGGACCAGTTCCATCGTAAGAAAAATCTTTTATGAATATTGTCGATTCATCAACTGCGTAAACATCACCACTGATTCCGTGAGCGTAACTATTGAATTCTCCGATCTTTTTGCCATAGTTTCCTATTTGGGCATGTCCTGCAAAACAAACAATACAATTTCTTAATTATTTGTCAATTATATTTAAAGATTGGTATCATATGCAATAATAATTATATATAATTATAATATAATTGTATAGGGGAGAGGGCCCCAAGGTGGTCAGGGCCCTAAGGTGGTCACCCTAAGAAAATTTTTGTATATTAGTTAGTATCTTCCAATTTTTTTTTGTTATTGTTATTATTTGAGAAGACAAAGATTTTAGTAAAGTTTTGAGGTAAATAGTCGTATGAGTCTTGTTGTAACGTGAACGTCGTAAAATTTCTGTTTTTAAATGATCGAGAAATTTTTTTCTCAGGGTGTTAAAATCATCGAAATTAACCATTTTAAATTAGAAAAATCGTTATAATTATCTTTATATATCGTACAATAATATTCCAAATGAATATAATTAATATTGTGCTTTAAAAAATTTTTTCATTAACGTTTAAAAAATTGTGTCTTGGCCCTAAGGTGGACACTTTTTTGGCCCCAAGGTGGTCACTTTTGATTTTTTATGAAAATGTGTTTATACGCTATATTTATCAACATTTATCACTATGAATGTGAATTTTATCAATTTTTAAGTTTTATGATGAATAATAATGAAATAGAATTATTTTCAAAATTTTACCTGTCTAATACATACACAAAAAGTATAATTTTTGACGAAAGGACAAAGTGCAAAAAAAAAATGTAATATGTTTCTGTGATTCTGGAAAACAATTAATATTAAATAAACAACTTAATAATACGTTTTTTACATTTTTTTAAAACTTTTTTAGTGAATTTTTGTATGGTGACCACCTTGGGGCCACTTTTTTAAAAGTCGAATTTTCAACTTTTTTTAAAAAGTGCCATAACTTTTTTTTTATTAATGAAATGAAAAAAACTTTATGATAGGAAGTTAGGTAATAAGATAAAGTTTCAAACGCCGTATTATTGATCTTTATATATAATTCCATTTGAAATCTAGAGTCGTTCAAAAGATGGGTGACCACCTTAGGGCCCTCTCCCCTAATTATAAATTTATAATAGAATTTATTTGGAAATAATTTTTTGAAAGCAAAGGGATATATTAAATGAATATTTAATAATTATTATTTTTCCATAGGAATTAATATTTTTAAAAATATCACGTTCAAACCTTTTTGAAATTAAATAACTTATAAAAAATTGTTATAAAACATAAAGAAATCAATCACTCCAAGTCTTCGACTCGGAGTGTCATCCATCTGTTCACAATTTAATTTAATTAAAATTTTACTGAAATTTTTTAAATTGAAAACAATTTTTGAAAATAATTGAAAAGTTTTGAAGAATTTTATTTATTCTTTTAAAAATAATTTTATTCCTAAGAATACAATTATTCATGAAAATAATTGAATTCGTACACAGAATTTTTTTAAATTTTGTTTAAATAATTGAAATTTTAATAAAATTTTTGAAAATAATTGAATTTTTAACAAGAATTTTACTACCTTTTTATATACCTACCTATTTATTTCTCTGGGCGAGAATTTTTAAAAAACTTTGAAAATAATGTAAATTCTCCAAAGTATTTTATTACTTTTCAAAAAAATTGAATTCTTGTAATGAATTTTGATATTTATCAAAATAATTAAATTTTGAAAAAGAATTTTATTCAAAATTCCTTAAAATAATTAATTTTATGGCAAGAATTTTGTTGTTTATCGAGATAATTAAATTTTTTTGCAGAATTACTTAAAAATTTTTTTAAATAATTAATTTCTTGTGACGAATTAAAAGTTATTTATGAAAATAATTGAATTCTTGACAAGATATTCATCGACATTTTTGAAAACAATTGCATTTCTACGAAGAATTTTATTACTTTTGAAAATAATTGAATTCTTGTGATGAATACTGTTATATTTATTAAAATAATTTAATTTTACATAAAATTTTATTAAAATACCTCAAAATAATTGAATTTTTAGGAATAATTTTGTTATTTAAAATACCTAATAGAATTCTTTTGAAGAATTATTTATGTAAATATGTAAATACAATTAAAATTGTATTTAAAACAATTAAAGGAAATGAATTTATCATTCTGTAAATAAGTCAAAATAATTTACTTCTTTTGAACAATTTTATTAAGATGTTTGAAAATAATTGAATTCCTGTGAAAAATGCTAATATTTTTGAAAAATAATTGAATTTTTCCAAAGAATTTAAAAAAAAAAAATTTTTTTAAATAATTGATTTTTTCGAGGAATTGAAATCTAATTTTGAATAATTGAAATCCTGAGAAGAATTTTATTATTTATGAATATAATTGAATTATTGCGAAAAATTGTATTAAAATGTTTAAAAAGAATTGAATTTCTGTGAGAATTTTAATTATTTATAAAAATAAATTGAATCTTGCAAAGAATTTGATTCAATTGCCTAAAAATAATTGAATTTTTGGGAATAATTTTGAGATTTAACGACATAATGGAATTTTATGTAAATAATTAAATTCTTAGAAGAATTTAATTAAAATCTAAAAAAATAATTTATTTATTTAAAAAAAAATGTAATTAAAATTGTATTTAAAATAATTGATTTCTTTCGAACAATTTTATATGAATAACAATATTCATCACAAGAATTCAATGATTTTTAGAAGTAATAAATTTCTTCTTTGAAATTCAATTATTTTAAAAAATTCTAATAAAATCGTTCACAAGAATTCAATTATTTTCAAAAAAATTTAATAAAATACCATTCATACATTCAATTATTGTCAAAAATTTTAATATAGAATTGATGGAAAAATTTAATTATTTTTAAAAACTTTTCGCAATTGAATGATTTTCAATATCTACTATTTTTATAAAATTTCCAACAGAATTCAATTATTTAAAAAAAATTTTGTAAAAATCTTCGTGAGTATTTAATTCTTTTCATGATTAATAAAAATTTATCTGGACTTTAATTATTTAAATTAGAATTTGCATCAATTTAGTCGAAAGAAATCATTCATTAAAAAATTTCTATTAAATTTTTCGCAAGAATTAAATTATTTTTATAAATATTTAAATTCGTTGTAGGAATTGAATTTATTAGTAGAATAAAAAAGAAGTAAATATTTTTTATGAAAATTAGGAAAAAGTCAGGAAAATAAAAAATAGAACGGGTCAGTTTTGTGAAAAGTCTAAAACGAGTTTTTTTGTCTTCAAGTTTAATTTTTCGATAGATACATTTTTTAGTTTGAAAGCTCCTGTTTGCTATTTTTTGAAAATTAATTGTCGAGTGCGAAATCTGATAATTATAAATAATTATTTATAATTAAAATAAACATTATGTGACAATGTTACATATTTATCAATTGATAAGTTTTCACCAACAAAGTGCGAAACACACGCATTTTTTATATTATTGTTATGATTATAAAAATTTATTTTTACCTTTTTATTGGAAAAGAAAGCTATTTTATTCATTTTATTTATCTAAGCTATTTTATTCTAATAGTGCTGCATTATTTTGTAAAATGCTTAATTTTCAAAATTAACACCGTGCTGCAATGCTTTTCAATACCTCGTAGTTTACTGTGATTGATAATAAGTTTAATTTAAGCAAAAAGTTGGTATTATTTTTTAATTTTAAGTAAAATGATTAGTTTTTACCATGAAAATTTACAATAATTATTATTAAGGAGAAGATTTTATCAAATTAATCCAGACATCCAAAATGTTGGACCCAAAAATTGGACCATTATGGGTCTAATTTTAGTATAGCTTTGCCCCCAAGTTAAGACCAATCTCATCGGATTTTTCCCACTAGTTAGTACTGTTTTATTACTACAAGCATTATACGATATGTTTAAAAAAATGACAATTTAATTTCCGCGAAGAGGAGAAAGAGAAATTCTTTGAAGTTTCGAACCGGAAACGATCTCCCTTGAACACTAAAAGTTTTAATCTTTATTGCCTGATGTCTCCTCCTATCCTTCTCGATTTCTCGCTCATGCTCTCGTCTTTTATAGCTCTGTCAAGCAAGTAAAATGAAATTCATGCAAATCAACGAACATCCCAGTATTTCAATTCTCCTGTCTGTTAGCAACATTCTCGCGATTAAAAGCTGTATGTATATCACGATGCATCACTTTTGTATTGGGGCGATGATGCGTCTAGCCATTCTCACTGTGCCTGAACGTATATCTATTGTGTTGCATAAATTCTACAAGTGTACACGTTGTCCACTTAGCTATTCAAATTTAAAATCCGTCACTCATTCTGTCTGCTATCTCATATCGACAAACGCAAAATTGTTTCTTCTCCGTGTTTCAAAAATATTCCATCTATATAATATTCAGATACTTTGCATACATTATTAGTATACATCCTTTTAAAATTTGTTTTTCTCTTTGGTATTTTGTGAGTGAAAAATTTTAATATTTCGTCATGTTTTCACTCAATCTCTAAATTTGCTTCAAATAAATAAATTCTCTAAATTTAACTATACATATGAGTAGAATTGCTGATTCAAGAATTTACTGATTTAGTTGGTAAAAATTGCTGATTCAATCACTCCATCAGTAAATTCATTCATTGGATCAGGAAATTTTTAGGAATTAACTATAAATCATATTTAAAATTGAATGTACTAATCGACCTGTATTCAAGCAAATTAAATACAAGAAAACTTGTGAGTTTCTAAATTAAAGTGTTGCTCTCTTGATGCAGAGAATCATAATATTTACAGGGCTCGAACCAGTGAAAGTATTTAAAAATACGGACTTTATGGACCAAAAATGAAAAATTACGGACCAATTACTGACAAAAATATATAAGAGAATTTATAGTTTTAAGTAAAATTACTTAAAACAATAAATTAGATTTTTTCATAACTAAAAAACATGAAGATATTGATAACTCCGAGTCTTCGACAGGAGCGATCGATTACTTCATGTTTTATAATAATTAAAGATAGAGTGATAAAATCATTATCAATTCAATTATTTTTTTCAAGAATTTTTAACTAAAATT